CGCCTATCGGGGGCAACAACCTTTAAAAAAAGCTGAATAGTAATATGAGAGAAATGCAAAGAAGTCTAATATGACTGCTTTTGAAGCACGATTACCGATATTACAGTAGCATCCAAGGGCATACCTTGCGTCATGGTAAACTTAAAAACATGCAATAAGAGTTAACTTTGTTGTAGCAAAATCTAGTTTATTTGGTCTCTGTTGAAAAAACCCACTAAATAGTACGATGTCTCCAGCTGATCAGATAGTGGTCAGTCACTGTCACAATCCATCAATATTCAAAAGTGCACATCTCCTTTCATTTTCCATTTTGAAATTGCAAGTTATAAATGGTAAAACAAACTATCACCTCCAGAATAAGCCTTCTCGGAACGCAAGCAAAGCAGAGCTCTGTAGTAAAGCTCCAAATGAGATGTCACGAAGGGCACATGTACACAGCAGGGCAAAACTCAAATTAAGCTATCCAACTACAGCTATGTCAATTGCGTTGCTGAAGTCAAAATAGCTTAATTCGGCTTTTGGCACTGTTTACACAGCAGGAACACTCTTCCTTCAACTTCCCTTATTCTGACTCCTGCTACCCTCATTTCACAAGAAGTTTTGAAATAATGGCTTGCTGTGTAGACATACTTATTTCAGAATAACGTCAGGATTTATCTCCTCTAAACTTCTACATATTCCACTGCACTAAACCCATTTACTTGAGTTTTACTTAGGAAGCGATCAGTTCAAGCCTCTAGAGCCCTGTCTAAACTTAAAACAACCACCACGTCTTTTTTTTAAAAAAATGTTAGCTAACAGTTTCATTAATACAGTTTGAAACACTACTTAGCACCTTTTGTAGAGAGAATTTAAATACATGTTAGACAGTTAGCTTTCCATTGATACTGTTCTCAGTGCATACTAGGGGAAAATCAGAATTATGGCTCAAATTCTGTACTCAGGGATTGTTTAAACATAGAACAGCTATTCTGCTTTAAATTCACACCCTACATTATTCTGTAACTTTCATGTGTAGACAACTAATCAAATACTTAAAGTTAAGCTTGTGTATAAGTGTTTGGAGGTCAGTATTTGCTTACTAGACAAAATAAGCCCCTCTTTGTACACATAGCTGGATCATTATCATGTTGAATCTAATCCCAGCTATCATTGAGTGATTAACACATTTTTCATTTTAACATCTCCATTATTTTACATCTTGTTTTAATAATTAGAAAATTAAATACTGTATATTTTATAGAAATAACATCCCAAGATGTTTTCCTTTGTCAGAACAAATCACTTTTTGAGAGTCTTTGCATTAGCTCTTGTGTACCACTGAACAGATAAGCTAATGAATGAAACGAATCAGGATATGCATCACATATACACAGAACAAGAAAAAATAAAGCTGATACTATGTGGTTATATTAGGACTAAAATATCTATGAGAAATGTGACAATTTATTTCTTCTCTGCTTATCCTTGTTTCAGTAAAACTGGCCTATACATGCAACAAAATGAAGTTTCTATATGGATTTTCTAGAAAATGCTTCTTCCAAACACTTTATTAAAAGTTTGATCTAGTTTCATTAATGCAATTCTAGCAAGCTCTCTAAAAGAAAGCAAAGAAGACTAAGAAATACTAGATTATTGTTTTCATGATTTAGGCAGATTTAGAAGTCAATATAATGGATGAAAGTTGGTATTTGAGTGTATTGTGGCAAAGCTACAGCCATGCCCACTGGGTCCTGCACTTCTGGACAGTTGTTATATGCCTCAGAGGCTCACTGTGACCCTCCACCACTGTGACCCTCCACATAGTGAGGGGGGGGAGAGGAGGAAGAGAAGGTCAGGTCAGCACCTGGTATGGGGACAGCTGAGGAAAACCCAAGCCCACCCACTACGCCAGGTTCCAGCTCAGAGACCCTAAACAGCAACAACTCACAGGGTTTTTTCCTCTAGCTCCAATACAGCAGCCTTTTTCCAGGGCCACTTCCCCAAACACTCCGCTAGTACTGTCTCCCTGACACCAGAGTGAATCTTGCCTGGTTTTGCAACCACACTTTCCTTTTCAGCAACCCACTTCTTCCTTTCAGTCCTTCACTCTTCTCCTTCCCCCTGCCTTATCATAGGGGAAACATTTTAAAGTAATGCATCAGGCCTTAATTGGCTGCAGGTGCCTGATTTGCCTTCTGTTTCGGGCAATCCTCTTAATTAGCCTCAGGTGTCTGCCTTGATTACATGACAGCAGTCTCCAGCAGTTTATTCAAGAAACAAAAAGCATCCACCAAATTACCCTCCACCAAACTATTGTAGCCAGCTTCCCTGGATCTTTCACAGTATGCTTGTGTTTCAGAAATGTGCCTGTGTTTTAAAACAAAGAGAAAAATATAAACCCTACCTCACAGCTATTAACCTGTGCATGTACACAACTCTCCTCATCCTGTCCATTGTCTTGCAACAGTGGGCATCATCCCGATTTCCAGGATTTAAGATGGGAACTAAGAAAAGTGCATCTTCCACCTTGCTCACTTTTCAGAGTGTCTTAAATTACACAATAATCAATGGTACAATTTGGTCCACAGACTGGGATTAGAAATAGCAGAAAGCCTTGGATGGCAATAGAATCCTACCTCTCATTAACTGTATTATTATGGTCCAAAATGTTACTGCAGAAGTTGAAGGGAAAGGAAGTCATTAAGGAGTGGAGAAATGTGAACTATGAGAGAGCCTTTCCTGGATTATATTTGGGACACCACGGCACATTGAACATAACCTATTACTCAGAGCCACTCTATTCCAGCACATTTCACTTTTCAGACAGCGAGAACCATGTCTTTATTCTAGCATTAAGATTTGCCTGGAAGGTTGGCTATATGCAAATGCTCTTGGTTACATCCAAGAAGTATCTAGTGACAAGATAGTTCTAGCAGTGTAAAGGTCAAGTAGCAATTAAAATGGGGTAATAGCGGTTGGAATCTCTCAATTTGATATTGTGAGGTTAGAAATTGTAATATCTCAGGATACCCAACAGAAGAAAATGCTGGAGAACAGTTTAAGGCTTGTTAGGTCTCTTTATGAGTTTAGAGTGAACGAGCTAAGTTCTTGGAGGTGGCACGAGTAAGTGAATTCATGACCCAGTCAGATACGATGTTGGGATCTTCCAGTTTTGTTTCAGAACATAGAAAAGCTATGGTGAGAGGCTGGGTGAAGGTTCACCTTGCTGCAAGAATTACATCTTGAGTCCTTGCATTGATTCAGTAATTATATGCAATAAAGTTACAGCCTGTTCCATGTTTCCCACAAAGCAATTGCCCTTTTTAAGAACATAGGAATGGCCTTACTGGGCCAGAAAAAAGGTTCATTTAACCCAATATTCTCACTTCTGTCAGTGGCCAATGCCAGGTGCTCTGGAGGGAATAAATGGAACAGATATCCATCAAGTGATTCCCTCTTCTGTTGCCCATTCCCAGCTTCTTGCACACAGAAGCTGAGGACATCATCACCGCCCATCCTGGATAATACCCATTAGTGGACCTATTCTCCATTATCTAATTCAGGGGTGGGCACCTTCCATGGTTTGTAAGGTTAGTCCCTGGTGGGTCTTCACAGGCATAGGAGGATCATAGCTCTCATTGGCTGCAAATCGCCATTCACAACCAATACGAGAAGCAAGAAGCAGCATTCCAGTCTACAACACTTCATGCTGCTCTCACTGGTCACAAATGGTTATTTGCAGCCAACCAGAGCTGCAATCCTCCAATACCTGCAGAGGCACAGGTAAACATAGCAGCAGCAGCCCACCAGGAGCTAACCTTGTGGGCTGCCTTCTTTTTTATTGCCCGCCCCTGATCTAATTCTTTTCTAAACCCTGTTATATAGTTTTGACCTTCACAAGAACTTATAACCTGGTAAGTAAAAACCCAAATACTAACAACTAATAATTAAACTGCTTACATTCACTTGCCACACTACAAGCTAAATCCTTCTCCCTTTGACTTTAGCGTGAGAAGGATCAGACCCTGTATTATAAAATTCCCCTTCCATTCCCTGGAACTATAGCTATTTTTAAATTAGGATCATATTTGACATGGACAATTCAAATTCTTCTACAAATCTGATGTATTTTTCCCTATGCAGATCACACTCATCCTTGTGTAACTATTATTCTGTTTCCAGAAAATTCTTATTCTAGCCCAATAAATAACAGAAGACGTAAAGTAATTCTCTGATAACAAAAATAATTAAATTGCAGGAGCAGGTTAAAGATCAGCATTCATTTTTCAAATTAAATTTAAAAGCCTGCTCTAGTTACTTAAAAGATTGGCAAGTTTTACAAATAACATCACTGAGCCTTTTAGAGAGAAACACAGACGCATTAGAATGGAGTCATTAGGCAATACATTTATTTTGAAGCCAATTAACCTTTTGTCAGAGAAATGTCGGCGCCGTAATGGTTTCTGCAGTGGAGGTCAGCCTCTAACAGGGGCACGTATGACAGCGATTACGCTGCCTGACATATGCTGCAGACTGAGAGTGCAGCCGTGGAATGAGAATTTGCCTTCGTTTGTATTCTGCTCTGCATTTCCCAGGAGCAGGCAATCTTGACCTATCCATTTAGGTAATTAAAGCTCCCATTTGGAAGTGTCCTGCAGGAAGGTGAAATCTGGGGGAGATAAATGTCTGCTGCTCACTGTATCCAGCCACTTCCATCATTTGATGGACTGCCTGAAACAGGCTGGGTTGCCAGGTCTTCATATAAATAGAGATGAATTGGGCAGGAGACAATACTCTAAGGCAAAGCAACTCTGTCATCTTCCTTTTTGCAACATATAATTTAATTGTTAGCAAGGTAGATGGCTGACTCAGGGGGCCTTTCTTTAACAGCACCCCCACCATCTTCCATTTGCTAAGAAATTACTCCAGTTTATTTACTTATAAGCCAACTTTGTTTAGCAATGAAATATGTCACTTCAATAAATGCAGCTGGCTGTTACAGCCGTGCCCTGACTTACCTTCCAACCTATTTTGTTTCCTCTTGTATCATGCTCAAGGGCAATTGGGAAGTCACCTCGCTCATAAAACTTGCGAAATGCTGTAGGCTTTGTTGGTCTTTCTTTAAATGCTCCTGCAACTGGTGGTCCTCTTACCTAAAAACACACAAACAAACCATAATGCAACAGTGCGGGTTTTTTAAAATAAAAATTCTAATATTTCTGTAGAAACACTAATGGTTTATAAGGGATTGGTAAGATAGCAAGTAGCATTGATTTCACTCTTCTCATGTTATACTTATTTTAATGTATGTGTCCAATTAAGGTTTTTAATAGATATTACAGGAAAGAAGTATTACCCTTAAATGAAGATTTAGAATTTTGTAGTATTCTGTAGGTACTAATTGGCTTATCTGTTTTTTTATCATCTCCTGAAAAATTGACTTTTCATTTAAAACTCTAAGTTTCCACACCTTTTAAAAACAGAAATAATACTACATGTTCACAAGTTTTATGATACCTTGCCTATTTTAGGAGGTTTAATTCCTTCTTTGTTTGTAAAGCAGTTAAAGATAAAGCATTATTTAAATGTAAACTATTTGATATCAGAATCTAAAAGTGCACATCTCCTATCTTTCTATTTTCTTTAATATGAAAGTAAGACACAAATCACTTCTCCTTTGTTATCTGGCGAAGGGGAGATGTACATAAATATCTACCTACTGTGGTAACTAGTATTTAACAGAAGAGTTTCTAAGCAACACTGAATTTACAAACTGTTTGTTTTTGGCTAAATAGGCTTGAGGAGGTATGTCCAAGAGGAAGAGAGTGGAATTGGAGGAAGTTCACCAAATACAGTAGTATCCTCCTCATAGTGTATGGACTTTCTTGCATAATATCTTGTTAAAGTTAATGTGCCCCTATAAGAAAGGAAGAAAGAAAGACCACTCTGTGCCTTCTATAAGCAAATTCACTACAGTCAATGCATTAATAATGGTGTAAAATAATAATCAGTCCTGGAAAATTTTCCTGCGTAAGGCCTTGTCTACATGTCCCCTCCGATCAATGGTTCCATCTTGTTTTATTCCTCTATAGTTCCCATCATCTCTACTTATTTCTCTTCCTCTCTTCACGCTGATCTCCTACTTTCTTCTAGCAGCTCAAATCTAGGTTCCATATCCTCTTCCATATGTCTGGTGACATATGTCCTAGACTTGACTCTCCAATCAGCCCATCATTTTTACCTCGTACATGCCTCCCTACCACCACTAATGTCATACTATGAACCCCTCCTTTCTTTCCTTCTCTTTCTGTATCTCTTCTCCTACTGTCTTCACTTCTCTCTGCACAGGATCTTGCCATGTTCAGAGAAAGTTGGCATAATACAGCATGATCCTCTCCTACCCCTTGGCTTAACTTCCTCGCCCTTCCTACACTTCGTCTCCTTCTCTCTCATCACAGATGCACAAGTTCCTTGTCTGCTCTCCTCCTATCTGCTTTTGTGGAAAAACTTGCCAGCTGTCTACACTGGCCGCTTGAATTTCTGCAAAAGCACTGACTTCCTACTGTAAGAAATCAGTGCTTTTTGCGGAAATACTATGCTGTTCCCATTCGGGCAAAAGTCCCTTTTGCGCAAAACTTTTGCACAAAAGGGCCAGTGTAGACAGCTGACATTTGTTTTCTGCAAAAAAGCCCTGATCGCAAAAATGGCGATCGAGGCTTTTTTGCGGAAAAGCGCATTTAGATTGGCCACGGATGCTTTTCCGCAAAAAGTGCTTTTGCAGAAAAGTGTCCGTGCCAATCTAAACACTCTGTTCCAAAAATGCTTTTAACGGAAAACTTTTCCATTAAAAGCATTTGCGGAAAATCATGCCAGTCTAGACGTAGCCCCAGTGATTCCACATCGTCCCCTTTCCTGATCTCCCTCTTGTTCACTCTTATCACCTTCCTTTTACTCTTCTCATTAACCTCTCACTATCTCTGGTTCTTTCCTCTCACAATATGAGGCTTTGGTCCCTCCCATTTAAAAAAAAAAACCTTACCCATGATCCCATTTGCCTCTCCAACTATCACATCATCCCTCTTCTCCCTTTCATCTTTAAACTTCGTCAACACCCTGGCTATCATTGAATGGAATTACTCTTCTCCAATTCTCTCCTAGATCTTCTCCAGTCTGGCTTTTGCCCCTTGCACTCCATGGAAGTGGCTCTTGCCAAAATCTGTAATGATGTCTTCTTAGCCAAAGCTCACAATCAACTACATATTCCTTCTTGACCTGTCATATATTCATAGATTCCAAGGCCAAAAGGGACTCTTGTGATCACTGACACAGTCGACCATGGTCTTCTTTGAGTCTTCTTTGCCACTGGCTTCTCTGCCTCCATTCCATCCTGCTGCTTCTCCTATTGATTCTCCTCCTACCTCTGTAGCCACTCTTTCAACAAATCCTCCTCATTCCACCTTCAGCTTTCTGTTACTCGGACTCCTAGGAACTATGATAATGTACATAAATAAACAAATAGGCAATTTTATTCCACAAAGGTGTCCATCCAGGAGAGTTATTCCAAAATAGCTCAATTATACAGAATAGTTATTCCAAAATAGCTATGCCAATCAATTTCCCCTGTATAGATAAAGCCCACTTTCATGATACTTCCTCTATAAGAGATTCTTCCAAAAGAGGACTGCGTCAGGCAAATATCCTTTGCCTAATAGTTTTTTCTTCTTGTAGGATATTTTTTATTAGCTGAGCAAAATGAGGAACCAGCAAATGAGAGACTGTGGTGCTTTTACAAAGTTGTGGAGGATGCAAAGATCTGGACTGGAATAGCCAGGATTGCTTCATATCAGAAGCTATATGAACTGATCTGATTAGGAATGAGGCTGGAAATTTGCACTGTATCTCCTCTCACACCATGAACATAAGAACATAGGAACATAAGAATGGCCATACTGGGTCAGACCAAAGGTCCATCCAACCCAGTATCCTGTCTACCGACAGTGGCCAATGCTGGGTGCCCCAGATGGAGTGAACTGAACAGGAAATGATCAAGCGATATCTCTCCTGCCATCCATCTCCACCCTCTGACAAACAGAAGCTAAGGACACCATGCCTGGCACAGGCAACATAATTTACTTTTGTCCAGCCAAAACTATTTCTGGTCATATAAATAGTGCTCATTTGGTGCAGAATCCTTTGCCTGCAGTACCAAATGGGTTGTCAAGGGGAAAGATGATCAAGAAAAGCAGCAGAGTTAGGGTTTGTGTTAGAGTTACTGGAGGGAAAAAATTATGTCTGGTGGAAATCCCCTGATGTCACAATGCTGCTGTTCAGGCTCCTCTGTCTAAAGCATAAAAAGAGCACCATCAATGGGAAGCTGTTGCTACGAAATTGATAAAACAACAAAGAGAAGAAGATAACATAAAAACGCCAATATTTTTTGTTGGAAATTATTTTTTCCCGACATTTCCTACAAAAAATTGGCATTTTTCAACCAGGTCTAACAGGATGATTACTTATTTATGTAGTTATGATGAAAGATTTGATTCTGCTTATTTAAAGCAACCTGATGTCTCATAAATGCATAGCTTAATGTCCCTGTACATAGAAAACATACATTTTTTAATTATCTCTCTCAGAACCTTACTGGTGTATGAATTCTCAGCCTTTAAGTCTGAGCTGATGTTGTGATTGGAATACTGAAGTAAACTAAACAATATTGCAGAATCAGAATCAGAATCAGAATTCTTTACTTTTACTAAAAGTCACTAAAAGTCATAGGTTGTTGCTACATGTTACGGATTTCATTGTTATACCTAGTAACAACGACATTACATTTTTTACAAAAAAAACCCAAAACCCTCCCTTTTACAAATTGAGAAAAATACCTCACTGTAATATTGTAGTTAGACTAAGATCAGAGAGTAATTGATTACTTCCAGTTAATTAAAGGCTAATATTCACAATGGCAAAGTATACAAAATAATAAACAGCTTTGAGGTTTGTTAAATGCCAAAGATAAGTTGAAGACTATGTTAGGCATCCCGTCACCATCCATCTTCTTGATGAAAACCAAAAAAAAAAAAAAAAAAAAAGCCATTAAGCAAAAAAAGGAGGGAAAAGCCACACATTTTCCTTGCTTCATGAGTGTTTAAAATCATTTGTACTGTTTTCTTGAACTTTTCAATGACAGCACATTAATAACATGAGCTAGACAGATTATTATTTGAGGGAAGGTTTAAACAAGGATTAATTATTTGAGGATAGAACTACATGGCCAACGTTTCTAATGAAGGAGCCAAGTTGTATACATATCATTGGACCTAGAAAATGAAACCAAAATTTTTATATTTTGCAAGTTCATAGTGGAGGTGTTGATTCAAAATAAGTAAATGTATGTGAGAATAGCTGACTGGACACCCAATTTGTATGTTCAAATACATGTTTTCTCAGTCAAAAAAGTGAATAACCATTCAAATGCTGGTGTAGAAAATTAATGACATGATCAGTCACACACAGACATGAAAAGGATTAGGGTTATTAGTAAGAATCTTACTTCCTAAAACTATGATTGAGATCATTTTATAGTTTCCGTAATAAAGCTGATGAACAACTAGTAGCACACAATATATTTGGTAAGTTTGTTAAAGTATTATCTGAAATGTTTAAAACAGATTTCTATTTTCTTTGATTCATAGAATTAGATGCTGACAAGAAAGGCATAAAAGTCTGGAATATCACTCTTCCTAGAGGCTAATCAGTTTTTATTAGGTAGGTCCATAAAGATGGGTGGATTTACCAGCTTTTACTTATATAAATCTTCCAGAATATTTATAAAATATTCAGCAGTTACAAAGTTTTTATATCAGAAATTATCTGACTACCAGTTAAGGTGCTGGGTTCTTTCCATGGATTGTTTTGTCTGAAATTCTTCACAGTCTTAATTTCAGATTATAATCTTAAATTATGGAAAAATTTGGTTGGGAAACCAAAGGGCTACTTTCTGATTCTTTGTACTCAAACTGAGTGTGGAGTATATGTGAAAAATGGTGTTATAATGGCAGAGTGGGAGGTTCAATAAGCCATTCCATCATCACACGGCAGATGTAGACAGGATGGCTCAGGCAATTGAAATGGCAGAACACTCACCAGAGCT